TCAAGTTCAGATTAATATTTAACGAAAGTGCAAATACAACTTTAGTAATAGCAAAAGATAGCTAGACACTGGTAGCAATAATTAAGTTACTGAAATGCGGTTTTTGCTATAATTTACTTCACATTCTTTATGTAAATTACACTGGTCAGTAGCTCGTACTGCGTTGAAAAGTGAATTTTTTCCGCTAATTTTTACTAACAGACTAGAGTAAAAGTTTACTTACGAAGAATACAAAGCAAAGCACTTAGCCCCAAAATCCACAATGGATTACAACGAAAAATTACGGATCTCAGCTCGAAGTGACGTACTGTCTCTGAGTTCATTTACTCTCTGCTCGATCTGAGGTAGTCGTCAGCTGAGATCAGTCGCTTCCTTTCATCTGAAAGCATCTTAGCTCTCAGTTCTTCAGTACTTTTTACACATTCTTTCTCTGTAATTTAATTAGCTTGAGTTGATGTGCGGCAAGCTTTATTCCAATCTTCTTCCTTTCCCTTCAACTTCACTGCCTCATTACTCTTTACACCTCTCAGCAAAAGTTACACTTCAAAGTAAAAGTCAAGATCGGATGGATAAGAGCAAGGAGCTAGCCGCTGTGAGTCAAGTAAAATTAAGCTTCTAAATAGAATTGTCCGTGATCTATTCAAATCCACAAATTTATATATCAGATTTGTCTTCAAGCGTTTCTTTGGAATGACCACGAAACGGATTAAATGATCAAAGCATACTTATGCAATAAATTCAGTCATTTAAGCAGTTGGTACTTTCACGCTTCATTTAGTATTACTACTATAACTTTCTTAATCATAACTCTGACTGGAAACGGTACTCTGCAATAATTTAACTATGTATTAATATTAATCTTATGTTTATTGTTTCTTCATTATTGTATTCACTCCAAATATTTACCTAATCTTCAGTTTTTGGTCTTAAATTCCTTACTCAATTTTCGCTTAATCAATTAACTTCAGAGTCTAAAAAGGCTGTCAGACAGATATTCTTAATTTGGCAGCTTTGAAAGCTAGCAGAAAAACTTTTTTGTTAATTTTTAATAGTCTATTCAATACATATTAGATTTTATGTAAAACCTGCATGTGAAAAAATTAATAGGACGGTGTACTGTATTCTTGAATTACAAACTTTGAGTTTTGTATTGGATTTTTGCTTCGCCCCAGTATGTTTTAAGAGGAGCTCTTCATATTGAAGGACATACTTTTCATATGCAAATTTGATCTAATCAGTATGTGTCGGATTTCATAAAAAGAATACAAAAATTTCATATGCAAATAAGTTGAATTTTGTGTACTCTCCTGTAATTTGACACTGTATCAAAAAATCTTTTATACAATGTTGAAAAAGTACAAAAGAAACAAGAAACGAAATGTATGCTTTGAAAACAGTGGCGTAATAACATGAAGTGCCAGGGATAAGTGTAGCCTAACCTTCAAAGTCCGCAACGGTTTTCAAGGCCTTTGTTGGTACTTGATCTCATTTTCAAGGCTACATCCATTATTTTACAACAAAATCACTGAAGTCATACAAAGTCCATTCTTCAAAGAAATGTCCAAAATGCATACAAATGAAACACAATACAATAAAAACAACATTATTATAATTTTTACAAAAACTTTTATATACACTTCATTTGAATGTGTTCTAGCAGAAAATTTTGAAGTAAAGAACTTTTATAAACATATTTGTAGAAGTAATTAAAATATAACATCGGTTGTGTGAACGTAAAAAAGTTCATTTTAGAAAATCAAAAGACCTTCAAGCACTCAAATACGATAAATGAACAGAAACTTCGATGAAAATTCAAATTTAAAGTATTTAAAAAATAAATAACTTAAACTGTCACCTTAATATTCAGCTTAAAAAATTGTGATCGCTATCAGAGATATAAGCACTGAACAGATGATATGTCCACAAGAATTTCGTTGTAAAGAATATACTAGTAAAAAATCATTAGAATCGTTTATTGTACGCCTACTATATTGACATATATCGCAAACTTGATACACAAATCTATTTATAATTTCAACAGTTGTAAAATAGATAGAGGTATGTAAACTTAAATTATGTCGAAGCCAATACAAAATAAAAAGCATTTGCTTCAATTTTAAATTCTCTAAAAACGAACCCAATAATCAATCCAAACAGCTTCTGCTTAGTCTACTGAAAATAAATAACAAATTGTCCTATATAGAGTAAAAATCACGATAAAAAACGTGTGACTTAAATATCTAACAAGTAGAAAACTGGATAGATACTGAATATATAAAATCAAAATCGAAATCACCTCATTGATATATATATTTATGGCCGACATGTCATGTTTTATTCAATATGGATCAAATGTTTTAAATCACTCATCTATCTTTATTTTATTTGTTCAGGAATAAACAATACTTTTGCCAGTAATATATAGATCTTTCTAGAATTTACTCAATTTACATTTACTTTTCATGTTCATATTTTCATGAAAGTAATATTTCCACAAAAAACTATTACTGTCTTCCACTTTTAAACATGCTAGAAAAATTGCGTTTTTTTGAACTAATTAATTTCATTGTAATTACCTTTCAGTTTCCACTTCATTACGCTATTTTTTTCGATTGTGAAAACGATCAGTTAATCAGACAATTTGGTTCATTTGCAGAATGATTAAAAAACGAAATCAAGAAAACTCGTCGAAAGAAAACTCTCGAAAAGAGCAGAGCCATCATGAAAAAATTATTCAAGAATTACCAAAAGAAAAAACAACAGAAAACTTTTGATGTTACCGATGTTCACGTCTGTATCATTTGTGATCAAGATGAATGATCAATCTCAGCTTTCAACCAATTCTTCCTACGAGTTCTTCTGTTCTACCTGCCATTCCCATCCCGTCTTTCAATATTACAATTTCCACCAAAAAAACAAAACAAAACAAAATTTTTTTTCCAAAATTTCCTTCTCCCTATATTTACGCGGCGAAGATGTGTCAAATCTCGAAGATGAGAAAAAAAGTGGAATTTCGGAAACCTGAAAGATAACCGACTTCCCATTTGTTTTTATCTATCAAAACATTGTCATTTAAATTTGCATTTTCATTCAGATAATAATCAATTAACTGTCTGTGTTATAAATATGATAACTTTTATTCGCTATAATATCATTATCATTGTCGATCATATTTTCATAATATTCATCTTATAATTTATATTATGTGCTATAATAAAACACTTTCAATATATCTTTTGAATACCAGATCTCACGTGTTAGCGAAATTCCGAACTGAAATCTGAAACTACAGTTCTTCTTTTATAAACGCTTTGACTGATAACGATAAAAATAACCGTAGCACAGAAACACTCAACTACTCTGCAAATAAACAATTATATTATCTATGCGTTGCACTTAAGTCAATATTTTAAGTACTAAGTGAAAAATATTAGTTGATAGTGTTGAAGTATGAACTAGATGGATTTACAAATATTCATTTTGTAAATTTTCTGTAGAAATGGAATAAAATATTGTCAGTAATGATTCAAAAATTTTGAATTGTTTAATTTCTAGACTTGCAAAGCTAGGTATCCAAATCTGAATAGAAATTACCACTATTTCTTCCGAGCTGAGAAAAGCATTCTCAAAAAAGTGGCGAGAAAGATCAAAGTTTTAGATTTAAATTTAAAGCTTGTTTGTGGCAAAGTAAGCAGAAGACAGACTGAAAAACTTTGTGCAGAAAAAGAACTCTTTTGTTAGCAAACATATAAAAAACCTCATCACCAAACACTCTAGAAGTTTTCTTCCTACCATATTGGAGAAAGTTTATATTGATGTAAATTTTCCTCATTCCTGTGCAAGACAACTTCGCTACCACGACTTTTTATTTCTTTTGTGTAAATTTTGGAACAAGTTGTACCGCCATCAATGCATAAAATTATGAACAAAACAGTAACTACGAAGGAACATATTTTGCAGATATTATTTGTAATAGACCATCGCCACTTTAAAACAAGCTTATACCTGTAAAAATTTCACAAACAAAATTAGATTAGTTGTTATTATCTCAAAGAACCATTTTCACTTCACAGCAAACTTGCACCAGCAAAAGTTTCACAAACAAACTAAATTAGTAATTACCACCTGACTCGTCAGTGGTATTATCATATGTAAAGATTTAAAAAAGTTGGGTTCAACAATATTCAGTTTAAAACGATTTCCCTGAGGTTGAACTTTCATCTCATCCTGTAAAGCTTCCATTAATTTACAGCTTTTTTGTTGCAAGAAAATTTCGCTTCAAAAACTGCTTAAAGTTCGTTACCAATTTCTCGAATAAGTAGCAAACTTCAAAAAGTTTGACCATCGCTGACAGCGTCGTTCAGCTGGAACTGGCAAATGACCTCGGAAGCCACAGATGCGACTTTTTACTGAACAGAAAAGAAAGACAAATTTTGAATTTTGGATGACGGATTTGCAAAAAAAAAAAAAAA